CTGGCGCCATGTTTAATTAATAACCAGAAGTCGTTTTTGTTTGGATGGATTCTGGTCGGCTGACATAGTTTTGAGCTTTGCGCTACGCTGCCCCCTGTGTGTTTGGCATGTTTAAAACAACGCTCACTGTGGGATTTGGTGTGGATGAAAGGCTTTCTGAAAACGATCCAGTGTCTACGATATTTTTAAACCAATGTGGTGGAGATAATCATTTTTATAAAGATCTGATTATGATCCTAGCCCGTCCTAAACATATTAGCTTCGGCCTCTGGAACAAACGAAGATGTCAACGCAGGATGTCACTTAAAAACAATCAGTATCCTCTAATTTGGATTTGAGTTAATTTTGTGGAAAGTAAAAGGGACACTCTTAATCTTTTGTGTGTGATTGAGGAAATCGGTTCACATACAACTAGATTAGATGTTTGCTGATCTAACAGCTGCCAGCTATAGCTTCCTATTAATGTTACCAGTTTTCTCATCCAGCAATCAAAGAAGCATATTATCCCCAATAATTGTTTTATTGACATGATTTAATTGTTCTTCTACCAGGAGGCCCTTTACTGTAGGAAAAAAAAAATGAGTGGGGTTTTGACAATCACAGGATTTTTTTTAATTTTATTATTCCTGGAGACAGATGAGCTGAACCAGTTAGACAACAACAAAAACACTCTGAGATCTCAATCTAGTTGAGTATATTAAAAAAAATTACAATTTGTAAGTTTATCCTGTTGTTTACACTCCCAGATAGGCTGCTGCTCCAAGAGCTGAGGGGGCCACACTGTGGAGAAAAATGATTGCCACATTTCTGACTTTATTTTGTTGTTTTAACGGAGGCCTACGAGGTCAAGAGTCAAACGTATGTTGTACCAGTTTGTCTGTCAACTGCCTGTGACAGTAAAATTTAATAGTTGTCACGGTTACGCCCCACGCAAATGCATGCACTCTCACACACACCAGCACTCCCCGCTCCTCCCCGAAGCCATTTTAAATGGAAGAGCCCTTATAGATCAAATAACTGCACTGATACAATCATGCCAGCCAATCGCATAAGTCAAAAAATGTTTTTGTAAGCATGACGGTAGATGGATCACTACTTAGCGTGTCACATTTTAAATCCGACTCATGACAACCGTTCAGTATTAATCACATCGCCCCCCCAATCCTCCCAACGACGCCACGCACGACAGATTTCAAAGGGAAGTCTTAAATCGAGACAATCTGTGGAGGCCTTTTCGCTTTCAGTCACGTTGTTTTTTTTCTTTTTCTACATAAAACCCCCCCGCGCAGCACGTTCTCCCACGTTGAGTCCGAACGCCCATTCAACCTCACAAAATAACTGGACTGCCTGGCCGTGTTCCTTCACCGCAGGGAAAGCAGTCGTAGTCGGCCGAGCTGACCGGCGACCTCTCACCCGCTTCATAGAGAGGACTGGGTCGGCTGGACGAAGGCGGTAGGCTGATTTCTTTTCGAATCAAAGAAAGTGCCTCTGTATTCCCATTATGCAATTTGTCAAACATGAATTCAGGTTGTTTTTTCTCACATATAAGCTATAGTGAATGGTAATTAAAATAAAAAATAAAAAAAAATGTCAGGAGGGAATGGAGAAAAAAAAACAATGACAGCTCACTAGATAATCTCAAGCATCTTTATATATAATACACTTTTATATATATTTATAGATATATACTTTTTTTTCCTTTTAGTTTGCAAGATAAGCTCTGTGGCAGTCTAGTTATTTTTTGAAGCATGGCATACATCGCACAGTCATAGGATGCATCTGGAAATCGCTAATCGGAGCAGAGTCGAAGCCCACGACCATCGGAAATCCATCGCAGACCCATCGGTAGAAACGTAGAGTATCGGCTAACGTAGATAAGGATTAAAACTTAAACGAACAGATTTGTTTTTCTTTATTGTTTCGATGGGAAGTATTGTTCTTGAAACTAAATGATGTATGTTGATTGAGCCATGTGCAATGCCTTGGTAGAGGAATTGTGTTTGTTAGAGAATGTTTGAGGGTGTCATGCAAAAAAAAAGAAAAATGGAGGGAAACCCTCTTAAGATTTTTTTTTTTTTCCTGTTTGTTCGTTTGTTTTTCAAGTCCACGTGCTCCGGGACTCTAAATACACGAGCGGTAAGATAAAAAAAAAAAAATGAGAAAGAAAAAAAAAGTTTGGGGGACATTGTTTTAATTTTCTTTTTTTTTTCCATTGTTTCCTTTTATCACTTTTTCAAGAAAAGAAATTCATTTTTATTGATGGGAGTTAAAGGAACAATTTCGCAGCTCGTAAAATATATATCATTATGAAAACTGGTGCTTTCGTAAAAGAATAAAGTACATTCAGTCTCTATTATACATAAATAATAATAAACAAAATTAAGTGTTATCATAAGAACTAATTTTTAGGAAATCATGCATTACTCTATTTCTTTGTATTTACCGGGGAGAGGGAAGGGGGGTGTTCATTGTACGAAAAGGTTGTTGTAACAAAAGGCATTTTTCCTCTCCCAAACCTTTACAACACAGCAGAGAGAAAACACACATCCTCTTGTAAAAAAAACAAAAAAAGCTTGTAAAAAATTGTCATTTGTTTCCTGCGGACTCTATCCTACCTACCAGTGATCCTAACGTGGAACAAAGACAAGATCTTCCCAATATTCCGGGAGATGCACGAGTCTGGATTCCTGTTCCTGAACGACAAGAGCGACAAAAACATAAACATGCTGTAAATGACGTCTTCGTTTGTGACTCACTTCCAGGGTTTCCTCCGTTTTCGGCCAGCGGGGTTGTAGTCATCTGAGTCAGCGGCAACTCGAACCCTGTTTACCCAAAAGCCCCCCCCCCTGCCCTCCAAGTCCCCCTCCCCCAAACACCCACCAGCTGTAAATGATGATAAATATTTGTTTGGTGACGTAGTGTTATAGACTCAGAGCATCTTTAAAGGTTGTCCCTAAAAAGTGCCTTTTGTTCACAGATTCCATCTTGTATTCCTGAGTGCCCATCTCAAAAGAAAATAAGTCCCTCCCTCATATTTCTATATCTTTCTCTTCTTCTTCTTCTTCTTGAAGTTTTTCAAGCAGTATACATAGTACTAAAGGAAATTGGTGTGATTTAGTTGCTCTTTTTATTGTTCAATACTATAGAAAAGCTGAAAAAAAAAGTCTAAAAAAAATCTCCGTCTTGCTTCTCTTCCTCTGTATCTTGTCGTCTGTTTATCTTGGACACTGGAGTAGTCTGTAGCTGCGTATCCTTCTCTCTCTCTCTCCCCTCAACTTTCTTTCCTCCCTATTCTCTCTACAGCGCGGTTTAAAAAAAATGAAAAATGTAAAAAAAAGAATACGCAAAGATTTTTTTTTTGTTTTGTTTTGTTTTTGTCTGAGCAGAATGCAATTAGCTCACATGTTATCCTTGTCTGTACGCTTCACATTGTATTACCATACCCATCTTCTCCAGCTTCTCCATTCAACAGCTAATGTAAGTGAACAAGTTACACCACGAGGCTCTGGGCTGGGCCGAGGACATGGGGGGTTTGGGGCCGACGAGAGGGGGCCGTTTCGGTGTGGAGGGGTAAGAACACACAGCTGTGATAACCAGTGGGACTGCTAACAGAGATTGCGGGGGGGGGGGGGTCTTTGTTTTTGTGTCTGCCCATCGTAGGGAAATGTTTAGAATAATGGGAGTGTGAGACCAAGAAATGATAAGGCTCTGCTCACATTAATGCAAATATTTTACTGGTATTTTTTGTCCCGCCTCCGTTCATGATTGGAAAATCATGATTTTTAGACACATTTTCAAGTGCAATACAGACTTGGCCAACAAATATTTGAAAAGCTAAGAAATGAACAGCTTACTTTGCACGTATGAGAGACAATGGCAACAAACAGCCGTGATTACCAGTTTTCTACATTTATCTCACTATTAAAAAGAAAAAAAAACTTAACTAAGGAGCTGGAATGGTAACATGCTCCAATAAAAACAATGTCTTACAATTATTAGGGAATAGTATAGTGTCGTGATTTGGGTTTTTGGAAATTGTCTGTCTGTATTTTGAAGTCAGATTTTCTGACTCTAAAGTTCAAAATACAACATTAATGCCTCTAGAGGTAGAAAAGTGTGAGATCTCCTGGAGTCCAAAGCTGCACATAAGTTAAATGTATTTAAAGTTTGAGATTTGAACTATTCATCAGAGCATCTCAATGTCTGATTAAACCAGTAGAATGTCCCTTTGTGATCATGTTCATTCAGTTTTTCAAACACAATAATATAAAACGGCATTTCTTACTGACTTTAGTATTACAACAATTAGGAAAAAGCACCAGCTTTGTAGAATTTTATCAACTTCGATTAGAGTCCAACTCTGGAAGAAAAGCAAAGTGTTTATAATCGATGTTCCTGATACTTGTAGATATTTCAGCATTCCTTCAGAAGAGCGCTAAAAGTAGATGTTTAGCTGTAGCTTAACTGAAGAAGATTCTAGAAAAACATCACAACTGATGAAGTCAGAGCCTGAAAGGTTCACATTTAGCCCAATTAGCACAGTTGCTACAGGATTTATCAGCTTGGAGTTTTCTGGTTCCTAAACCTGGCACTTTGTGATCTTTTTTTTTTTGCAATCAAGCTAATGAAACAATTAACCATGCCATCAACAAGAAGCCATTTCAGAGAGACTCATATTGCAGAGAGCAGTGTACATGTGTGTGTTTTTTTTAGGAGTGTGTCTGGAGAATCTGCCTCTGCAGCAGCACTAACCATCCACCGTTTTTGTTTTTATCGTTTTACACACCTCGTTTTCAACATGTTCTGTTGGGCTCAGATTAGCGGTTAGCGACTCCAACCCGCCTGGTTATCCTTTCACTTCTTACCCAGTTCCAGCACAGAGCGCCCCTCTCTTCTCCCCCATCCTTTCTACAGAGCAGCAGCCCATCCTCACAGGCCCCCTCCCAGAGCCCGTGGTGAAATGCATGTGTTAATTACAGTTTCTTTTCCATAATAATAATAAAAAGCAGTTTGAAAAGAGCAATGCCTTTACCTGATTGAATAAAAGGATGTTCTTGACTGTAACCCCTGGTCTACTGGCTCTTTACTCTGTCTGGAACAGTGGTGGAAAGATTTCCAGATGATGGGCACCACAGTGTGGCTGAGGTTTTTTTTCTTTTTAAAGCACCTCACACACAGTCGCATCAGTTCCTTCATTCTTGGAGCGCTTCAACAAATCACCCAACTAAATTGCCTTCTTTAAAGACAAGAGTGGTAGACAACTTTAATTCAATTTAAAAAGTGAAATCACTTTTACCTAACATAGCATGTAACTTTTAACTAGCATATCTTAACCCATGCTATTGCTGTAACTGGTGTATTAAATAAACCTGTTAAATTAAATAGTGCTTAGCCTGGCAGGCCACCACGCTTGTATCTGTTTTTTCTTAATTCTTGGGGCTCATCATCAATATGCCGTTTTTAGATCATGTGAGATGGGCCTTTGTTGTTTTGGGTCAGCAGTGGTTCTGGCCTTTAAACTTTCTACTAGAGGTCTTTAACTGTCTCTTTACTACAGTTAAAATATGACTAGACCTGCAGAGATTGAGATATTCTGGGTGGTTTGGTGACCTCCTGGTTGGAGGGTCGATGCACTCTTGGAATAACATCGGATCCCCGTCTTCATGGGAATGTTCACCAGGGCTGCATCCTTCCTTCAGATAGAGATAATGATGGCTCTCACCTTGGTTTGATAGCATCCCAAAACCTTAGAAATGCCTTCATAACCACCGTCGTATCACGTCCACGTCACACTGCACTGATGCAGCAATCCACCCAAAAGGATCCCAGAGTGTACACACCAGTGCTGTTCTGTTTGCCTTGAGGACCAAAATCATTGAGATGAAATCAGTTTGGACCAGAACAAAGTATTTTAAAAACTTCATGTGCCTTTTTTATTTGATCTGCTCAAAAACAAAGTAATCTTTTACATTGTTGTAGATACATATGTAAAGGTTTTGCATGATGGTGTTATAAGAGATTTTTAACTTCTTGTGGTGGATAATTTCCTTATCTGGCCTGAAAGATTTCAGTTCGTGTAAAAGTAGGTCGCTGTTTGTGGTTCCAATTATTCCAAAGCTACAGAAGATATTTATCTGTAAAAAGTCTTGCTGTACTAAATGAAAAGGTCTGTGTCAAACCTATACAGTACACCTTCTGGAGTCAAAACCTTTGAATGTTTTATTAATTCTAATTTCCAGTGTTTGAATTTTGGGTTCCGAGTTGTGAAACAATCATCAGAATGTATGCAATTAAAATATTTTTATTGTGCTGCAAATTTAAATAGTTTTCCTTTCACAACTGAATTAGTGAAGTAAACCCAAGCTGGATGAAATCCTAATTGAGCTGCATCTGTTTAATCAGTGAGACGAGGATGACAATGATGTGAAGGCACAGAGTCAGGGAGCTGAAAGACTGCTGATATTTAATGTAGCACAGCATAGTCTAAGATCATGTTGATGCTGTAGGACAACAATCAGTACAGGCTGCCTTCACACACATACACACATGCGCACACGCACACACACGCACACACACAGAGAATGCACTTGTGTTACCGGTAACAGCATCTTTTCATGAACCCCATAAAATAAACCAGGGCCTTGTCCTTCATGCTTAGATATCTACAATAAGAACGTTAGCGTGAATATTTCATGTTCTGAAAAAAAAAAAAAAGAGGGTTCCAAGTCCCAACTCGCTCACTGATGGTCGGGTTGGGATCGGATCTTGATTGGAAATCCCATTGGTGAGAAAGTCTTCAAAAATAAAAGTAAAACTATAATACGTTTCTTACAGACAGTCCTTATCGCTCAGTGGAAGAACAGAACCTAAAGGTTCTCCAAACCTTCATGATGGTACGACAGAGAGCGTTCCTGCACTTATCCCACTTTAAAAGCGACAACCAGTTCTTTCGTGATCCGGGTCAAAAATAAAACCATAGAATTTAAAGAGTACGGCTGAAACAGCCTATGGGGAGTTACGCAATACCCTCAGTCCAAAGCCTGGAGCTGTCAGAGTCTAGATACTGAAGGAGGAAGTTTAGAGCAGGATCGTCCTACACTGGTTAACGGTTCTCTTAGGGAAAACTTCATGCGGTCAAACTGGGCACAGGCTGTTAGAATCAAGGCTGAAAAAACAACAAAAAGGTTCATTTTGCTGTTCTATAATTTAAAGCTTACTACAAAATGCTAGTAAGGTGGCTGAAGAAATGCCTGGATGAAAACATGGACATGGCCTGGAATCAAAGGGTCATCCATCACTCCTGTTCAGGTAAAGCTTTTTGTATTACTAACAATAGTTGCAGAGTAAAATCAGCTGAATCCAGGCTAATTAACCAGAGACAGCCTAATTATCCAGCTAATCTTAGCATGTTTGTCGCTAAATCCTGAATAAAAAGATCTGAGGTGACGGTTTTCCTTTGATCGGCAGGTCAATGAAATCTGCCAGTTTTCTACACCGCTGATTAAATGCAGTCTAGAAACAAGCAGCAAGTTCTTAAGGTATAAAACTAAAAGTTAGGTCAACATTAGAGGCATGAATATGAATATTTAAATTTTGCAATTCTTTCGTTTGCTGATGCATTCAAATATCCTGGAGCACATCCTGATGGGTGTACTCCCAATAAGATCTGAATACAAAGAGTGAATTTTCATAAAACTATTGCAATAAGTTCGATTTGACCAATCTTTTTTTTTTTTAAATCACAAGCCGTTTCTATAACGGTGTTCTTGATGATCCATGGAGTTTTGCTCCACGTCGCCCCAGGCCCAGCTGAGACGCGCAGGTTGTTCCGTTTCTGATCAAATGTCCGTTTTTGGATCAAGTTGCCGTCATTAATAATGTTTGATCATAATGTTGTGCTCAGAATGAAACCACAGCTGTCGGAGGAGAGTAGCGTGTGCAGTCAGTATTTAATATGTAGTGTCATAAGGAACCAGGAACAGAAAGCAGTTTTAGATGTGATGAAGAGTCAGACTCGTCTTCACATCACGCTCAGACGCTCAGGAGTTCAACTGATTATTAAAGATCCCGTTCTGTGATGGTTTTGTTCCTGTTTTGACTTCATGACCCCAGAAACATGTTGAGAGACAGAGAGAGACAGAGAGATGTAGAAAAAAAAATGTTAAAAATTAAAAATAAAAAAAATAAAAGGGCAGCACAGTCCAGTCCGTCACTTCTTCTAATTTCATTGTCGGACGTGAGGCTTACAGAGGTACACACAAAGCAGTTTGTTTTTTGTTTTTTTTTTCTTTTCTTTTTTTTACACACGCTGATGATGTGGTCGCAGCACGTCCGTCCAACCGACCGACCGACCGACCGACCGAGCTACAGCATTAACGACCTTAGAGGATGCCAGATTGATTACGTTGTTGGGTTTTTTCTTCTTCAGCCTAACTGTGTCGCATCCATCTTGCACAGGCATACAGACAGACACGTACTCTCACACACGCAGACATGAGCACGCAACCCCACACACACAACCCCACCACCACCTCCGCCCCCCCACTCCACCCCCTAATGTTCACAAAGCGCACCTAAAATCAAATTACAGATCTCCCCTAAGCTGACCCCACTCATTCCATTGGAATTCACGTGGATTTCATCATTCTTCCACACTTTTCTCCCCCCTCCCCCCCACTACTCCCATAATCTGACTTTCCTGCACTTAACCCCCCACCCCCCAACCAGCCTCCCCTCCCCCTCCTGTCTGCTTGAGCTGAGGTTGTACAGTAAGATCAGGGGGTGCAGTCTTTATGTTGAGCTGAGGAAGGGGGGAGCGGTGGGATGGGTGGGGCAGGAGGGGGGTGGTGGTGGTGGTGGTGTTGGGGGGTGGGAGGGGGCAGAGCTCTGCTCCCGTTCAGTCGTCTTCCAGTCCCTGGTTGAGGAGAAAGTTGGCTGCCAGGTTCTCGTTCTTCTCGCAGGCGAAGTAGGCCTGGATGACCAGCGCCTCGGGGAAACCCAGAGCTTTTAACTGGAGTGGAGAGGAGACAGAGGGGGAGGCGGGGTTAGCACCAGGAAGCAGCAGTGCAATATGGGATTTGGTGTTTTTAACGAGGAATCTGCCGATTTCCTTCATTTTGGAAAATTGGTTGACACAAGTTTGCATGTGAAGCAGATTTTATCTACCTCTGTAAAGGTCTGTTACCGACTGTGACTTCTCAGACAGAAAAAAAAAAAAAGAACAAAAATTGGTATTGGCCAAAAGTGGAATTGATGGTGAGGCTTTTTTAAAGATTTGTTATCGGTAGGCCTGTTGCAATAAGCAATAAATCAATTAATGGTATAGATGATTTATTGTTTTTCTCTTTTCTCACTTTCGACTAAAAACTACATGACGAAAGTCTTTAGTCTGGTGCTTTGGCCTCAAATAGCACTTTTCTTTGGAGGACAATTTGAACTTCATAATTCATTTCATTTGTTGTTTCTGTTGTTTTGTTTATTTCAGATATTTAAAATGTTTCCAGTTCCAGTATAAAATGTTCACCAGAATTTAAAGTTCATTGATCTTTGAGAATGTGTTCTTAGTCTCCAATAGGTCACTTTAAAATGGTTTCACAACAACAATATTATCGCTTATCGCAATAACTTCTGGTACAATTTATCATCCAGAAACATTTGTGACGTGGTGCTCGGCCAGTGGCCTGCAGTCGGTGCGTTCCTGGTTTCCCCATCAGACTCACCCTTTCGATGGCTTCCTTCTCCTGTGGTGTGACCTGGATGTAGTTGACGGGCGCGCCCTCTTCACCCGCCGCCCCCATCTCGCCGACCTCCGGGGCGTCGCCTCCTTCTCCCACCGGCTCGTTCAGCATCTGGATGAACAGCTCCTGATGTTGGCTGATTTGCTGCCGACAGAAAGAGGCGGAGTTACTTCCAATTTCATCTGAGTCCTTTTGTTAGTCGTTCTACTCGATTACCATGTGGATTTTGAAATTCTAAAATGTTGCCAAAAAGAAAAGGCACATCAAGCAAACTTTGACAAATTTAAGTTAATTTGGTTTCTTGGCTTTAGGAGATATTTAGACTGATTTTATTTTAGGGTATCAATACAAAACAGGATGCATCATTTTCCTTCCACTTCACACACAATAAAACACACTGGTGTGTGTGTCCTTTAGACCCCAGCATGAGGGGGTTACCTGTAGAAGTTGTGGGTTCTCTCGGCCCAGTTGCTGCAGGAGTGCTGGGAGCAGAGCCGGGTTCTGCTGGATGGCCTGCCTCATGTGCAGGAACTGCGGCTGGGTTCTCAGGAATGCTAGTGGGTTCTCACCTGCTGGGCCACACACACAACACACACACACACACAACACAACCAAGCAACCGCTGAGAAACGTCAAAACAGGAAAATATGAACGATCCAACAGCCCTGGACAACAAGGACGAGTAGATCACACACTGCCAGGGTTGCCATGCCAACATTCTTTGAAAAAACAACAACATTTTTCTGTATAGTACTGGTCAACACTCACAGCTGCAATATCTGGATCAGTAGTGAAAATAGACTGGAACTCTTCTAGTCCTTAAAATGTAACAAATACAAGGCCACACACCTAAGTTTAAAATAAAGAAATATATCTTGTTAACAGTTGTTGCCATGGCCACTGGGCAAAACAAGTCAGAAATCTCCATGGAGTTGGAACGTTGCCAATTTATTTTTAATGTCATTCCCAGATCCGAGTTCTGACTTCAAATCAGCAAATGGAGCAGCACAAGCAGAGTCCAAGACTTTATATGGTTCACTGTCGTACTGCATCACTTTTGTTATTTCTATTTTTTATTTCAGATTTTTTAAAATATTTACATGTTCTCCTTTTTATGGTTTGGAGTTACTTGATTTCTCTAAATTGTCTGTTTAGAAAAGCATTATACAAATAAAATGCATTATTATAAGATTTCTGATGAATCAGTATGCTTAGCTAGTGGATAAACTGTCTCTTCTAGACCCAACAAAGTCAAAATTATTATTAGTGTGTTGAAATTTACAGGATTTACCAGCTAAAACATCAGGACATGAACAGAAACACACGTTTTCTAACAGCGTTTCCTATAAACCCAAAGCTTTCCTCATCAGAACTATTTGGTTCTTCCTGTATTATAGATCCACAGCAGCGTCATCCATCTGTTAAAGCAAACTGATGGGCTTCCTCAGGGTTTCCTGGAAAACCAACCGGAGCACTGAGCATTATAAGCTCACACCTAAAGGCTGGCTCTCACATTTCAAGCAGAAATATGTTTTCTTTTAAACCCACCATACAGATAAACAACAGAAATGAGTTTTGTTTCTCAGTCTAAAGACAAAGAGCTGCATCGTACCTTCTGCTAGAGACGGAGGCTCCGTGGGGCCAGATGTGGGGGCCTGGGCCGGTGGGTTGCTCTCCTGAACCGGGCTGCTGGGGATACCCTGGGAACCAAACAATGCACATCTATCACACACACACAGCTGCACACTTCCTGGATTCTGGTTGGAGACACTCAAACACCCGACGATAAATTAGAACAAAGAGGTCAGAATCCACAGTCCAGATCGATTCTGACCTCTGAACTGCTAACACGGTCAGGAAAAAAAAACTCACATTCTGACCAATCTGGAGTTCTTCCTAAAATGGTAAGAGTAGTTCAGTATGTGTGTGTGTGTGTGTGTGTGTGTGTGTGTGAGGCGTACAGTGAGGAGGTACTCCACCGCTCTGTGAGGGTTGTTGAAGCTGGCCCGTAGTGCAGCGACCACTCGCTCCCTCTCGTAGCCCATAGACATGATCTCTGTCAGCATGGCCTCGTACTCGGCTCCAGTCACTGCAGACACAACGGCTGTTTTACTGGCATCAACCACGGCAGCAGGCATGTGTCAGCAAAAACTCTTGAAATACTTTCAAAAATGAACTGTTGACTGATATCAGAAATAAAACTGCCTTAAAATTATATGAACTCCAACTAAACTTTGCTCTTTACATCTTAGATTTCAGTCAAAGTTTAATGTTTTTTTTTTCTTTGATTTAAAAAAAATTCACACACACACAAACCAGAAAATTCACAAGTGGGAATTATTGATTTCATATTTCTAGATATGAAATGGATGATTTGTTCATCTATTCAACATTTGAATGAGCATAGAGTTGATGACACTAATATAGAGATGTGTATCATCGGCGTAGCTATGGTAACTAATATTGCTTGTTATAATTTGAGCTAAAAGGAGAGAATAGATATCAAATCGAAGGGGCCCAAGGTGGACCCCTGTGGTGCCCCGTATGTGACTTCTGTCAGCTCTGATGAAAAGTTGCCTACTGACACAAAGAGGTTTGTTTCATCACACAATTAATACTTAGCAAGAAATCACACAGCTGCAGATATTTAAAAAATAAAGGATAACATATTTAAGAACTGGAAACTGACAACATTTTAACTCCAAGTTAGCTAAGGACTGAAATGCTTAACAATGACATAACCAAATTAAACCAAAAGCTTTTCTGAGAAATTAATACAGGAATACTTTTGACATTTGATTTTTTTTTTTAACAAACTACAGATCTGTTGTTGGCAGAAGTTGTTTCTAATCAGGCAGAAACGGAAAGTCAGATGCTTTGATTTTTACTCAGTTCTACAGCAAATAGATTTTTTCTAAAGGTCTATCTCAGCATTTTTCAAGACTCCTGTTTGAAAAGTGCTGCTTTTGTGCTGCTTTTGCAACACAAAAGCAAAAGCAGCAACACAATCAGGTGTGATGTCAATCTGAAGCTACAAATGTTGCATTTAAAAGCTACATTCACAGCAAAGATTCTTGGAGAACAACTGTTTACCCGGGCTTTAAATAGACTGTTATACAAAAAAATATGCAATGCAAAGAATTGTATTCACTTTACATATTTAAGGTTTATATCAGTCAATCTATGAGAACACCACTTCTAAAACGTAACAGAAAACTCCATGTTAAGTCGTCCCCAGCATTAATGTGGGCCGGCAGCGTGACGGACCTGCTTCCCCTCTCGGTCTGAGGATGAAACAGGAATCCCCCTCATTACTCTCTGTGACGCCACAACAAGGAAGGGCTCACTGTTGTCAGCCTCTAAACATAGAAGCGGCATGCAACGCAGCGCAGCCTGTAAAGTCCCCCGACTGACAGCAGCAGCAGCTGCTGGCCGACAATGTGGAAAGAAAAACGCAGCAGCGCGACAATACCTTCAATAACAAGGTCAGAAAGCTGTTGGACTGAATGAGCGGCAGCGGCTACTGTACGCAGCGTGGCGTTAAGCGGTGAGGTACCTACCGAGTGTTGAGGAGGCATCCAGGCCCTGACTGACACCACTGGAGCTGCAAGACACCAACAACCATTAGATTTTAGAGGCAGAGTTGAGCTTAATGGCAGAAAGAAGATTCTAACTTTGTCATTCCTTACAAGACAAAGTAGGATTTTCTTTTTAAAGACAAATTAAAATGCTTGATTTTTTCTTTGTGTAACTTAAAGTTGATTTTTATTGCATAGTGCTCTGTGATTTTATGTCTGAAAGCGCCTCTGATACTTTATTAAACTAAATTTAGCAAGAGGAGAATTCAACATTTTAATTGAAATAATTCAGCAAATTCAAATGTTTTAAAAAGAAACAAATGCTTTTTTTGTATGAGCAAAAAACACATAAAACTGGCATTTTTAGTTATGGCTAAAACACAGATGATAAGCTTGTTAAAAAAATATTACAAGCTCCGTTTCAGTTCAGCAGATTAAAAAAAAACAACAACTTTTGACTAGAGACAAAACGAGAATAAAGAAAACATTTAACTAAAGCAGGCTGCAGTTACTGTCTGAATGTGGAATGTAAAAAGTCAACTTTGATTTGCTTAAAATAAAACTGTTCCTGTAGATCCATTCCCTTTTAGATTCCTTAGCTTCACATACACAACACTGGTTCACCTTTTTTTAAACAGATGAAGAACAAATAAAAGTTTCTTCAGCAGAAAATTACTGATTTAAACCAGTTTGTTCCAGAGACTTTTCAGATCAATTTATCAGCTGAGCTGAAACTCCTGCAGCCTTTTAATATTAAACATGAGTGGAACGGTAATATGGTAGGAATCAATATCGTTGTCAGAACGTCATGGAAATTGAATTAGTTCTTTTAATAATGAAATGAAATGTGAAATGGTTCCCGTTTCTCCTCTACATCAGCTGTACCTGGCTGGCTGCTGCGGTTCTGTGGCTGCCGTGTTGGGCTCCGGTTTGACCTCCTCTGAAGAAATGGGGACAGCTGCAGGGGCCGGGGCCGGGGCCGGAGCGGGGTTTGTAGCCGGGGCGGGGGTGGAGGTGGAGCCAGAGTCTTGCACAGGCGGCTTGGGGGCTTCCGAGACTGGCGGTGAGGCTGGAGCTGCAGGTTTAGCCTTTCATGAATTCAAAAACAGTCAAAAGAGAAAAATATTAGAAAACTAAATTGAAACTAAAAGAAAACATACTAACTCACGAGAACGATCAGAGTTGTGGTAACAGGATTCTTACAGAATTTACAGCACAAAATCAAAACTTTTGCCACAATTTTCCATGTTTGTTTGCAGATTCTGCCTTTATTGTGTTTGAATTGTAGTTTTACCTCTAGGTTCCCTAAATAAACAGATTTCTACAGCCTTTATACTGTGAACACAATTATCAACCAGGTGATGTTTAACCATGTCATCATCTTAAGGAACATTTTCTAAGTCCAACAGGGAAAAACGTCATTGATTCAAGGTGACCTATTAAACTATTTTGCAAAATTCACATTTTGGCCTTTTTGTTTTTTTTGCTTTCCATTTAATATACATGTTGATTCTAAAAACAGCCCAAGCTTTTAAAAACAAACAGCTGTTTTTTGGAAACAAATTGGTGCTACATGGTGTCTGAAAATGAGCCATTTAAAATAAAAATAATAATTAAAAAAAAACCTCCTAATTGCCGAGTCACCTAGCAACCCAAGTGAAGCTGCTGCACAATGGCTGCTGGAAAAGACAAGTGTTTTTTTGTTGACTTGCCATCCACAAACCAATTGCTGCATCGTTGTTAGTTGTGCAGGAGGCTCCGCTTCTGCTTTTCAAAGATGTCCGCTTTTATAATGTGTTTGCATCCATTTTCACGTGTGAGTGTAAATGTTGAGCTGTGGGCAGGGGGGCGTGGCCAGCAGCAACTTATTTGGATTTAAAGTGAAAAGACGCCCTAAAACAGCTCATTCTGAAAGGAGCTCAGAATAGGCAGAACAAAGACTAAATTATCATTATTTTTGTACAAAAAAAAGGTCATGAACTTGTTTTGCATAGCCAGTTAGTATATGCCTATACTAACTGATTAAAGGAAATATAATGGGTCAGCTTAAGCACAGAAGTTAATATCTATCTGTGTAATGAAGCAGGGTTTGGTCTAAATAGGTCAACATCATATATCAATGTGTGTATAATTATTAGAAAGGTTTTTTTAGGCAATATGGGCCAGAAAAATAGAGATATAGCTGAGTCTAAAAAGTCAAAAGTTAAAAACAAAAAGTCTCTCAGAGGGATGCAGCAGTGGACGTTGAAGGTATTGGAGTGTGATCACAGAACCGTCAAATGTTTTGTTTCAAACAGACGCAGGAAAGAAAAAACACAAATTAATTGTCATGGATTTGAGAAGAATCAACGTGAAGCTACCAGGAGGTCATTATGTTTGAGTTCAGTCATATTCCATAAACTTCTACCTGGAAGAGGTACAGCATATTCAGAGACCTGGGCACTGTGGGGAGGGCGGAAACCATTCTGCTGTCTGGTGACAACATTTTGGATCAACCAAGAGCACTGGCAGCTGATTAATAAAATTTTTTACAGAAATCTCATTGTGGAAAATCTACTGCATTACAAAAAAAAAAAAAAAAAAAAATCCACAAAATTTCCAAAAGCCATTTCTCATTTACCCATTATTATCAAAATCCGGAGAATAATTAGAGCTATATTTCATAATCTCAGATTGTACAGGAACACTGTGCTAAAGCAGCCTTTTAGTCCAGAAAATCCATGTTCATTTCTAACTTTTGTAAGAAGCATGAAATGAACCATCAGCCTTGAATTAATCCCTAATCTCACCTTGGACACCATCACTACAACAAAATTCTTCTCGTCGATCTTGTAGTCTTTAATAGGCGTGTCATCTTGCAAGATTTTCCCGGCATAAATCAGCTTCTGTCCAGAAACGGGGAAGTTGTCCTTTCCCCGTTCAGCCTCAATCTTCTCCTTCAAGGCCTTCACCTGATGGAAGAGAGCGGACGTGACACATGACCGCAGACACAGATCCAAACTCTTCTGTTGACTCTGAACATCTGACCTGCAGTTCATTCTGTCACATTTCAAACACTTTCATGGAGTTTTATTCTGGTTATGTGTGAGTAGAAGAAAACAGATACTGCAGGAAAAAAAATATTTTACGCATTTGTAAGGCGCCTGTTCAATCAATACCTTCTCAATTGTAATTTAGGTCTGGACTTTGACTGGGCCGTTCCAACATAAATATGCTGTCGTGCTGGAAAGTCAACCTCCGCCCGCATGTCAAATCCAGACTCTCATGTACCTGGCCCCATCACATGTGTCTTTGCTTCAGCACACAAGAGCCAAATAATTAGGACATTAGTTGTAAGTAATTCAGTAACTTATCTAAAAGTTGCAGAACAAAGGCTCATGAGGATTAGCACTAAAGTGGTAAAGTTGTTAGGTTTTGTAAAAATATTTTTCTGTGGCTCTAGTGGCATTTATTTTTCAGTATTCAGCCAGGAAATAAGTGGCTGAGTCGACGCCTAGTAGCCAACATGTGGCGCCCGCTCTACCTCTGCACCCCGTCCCAACCAGGCATTGTTAGTTTGAGCCACACAATGTTTTTCATGAAGTCCAAAGAGACTAGTAAGCTGGTCAATAAAACTGAGCTTTGGATCTCTGCTGCTCCTCCAGAGTTACCATGAGCTTCTTGGATAAATGTCTTCCTCAACTAGTGTGTTAGTTGAGGATTACAGAAATAGTTTGGCAGATTTGCAGTTGTGTCATACCATTTCTATTTTTGAATGATGGATTGAACCGCAAATTATGAGTTGTTCAAAGCTTAACATATTGTTTTATGCTCTATCTGTGCTAATGTACTCCATGTTCTGCATGATGGCGTTTGTTCACTAACAAACTAGCAAGGCTTCACAGAACAGCTGGTTTTATGCTGAGATTAAAATAAATTATTCTGAACACAAAGTCTGACATAGATGTATCAGAATAAATACAAATATAAAAACCTTCCACACATTTGCATCTAAAAAAAATTGAAAACTATAAAAACAATAAATTTTCCTCCCACTTTACAGTTGTGCACTAATTTGCCTTAAAATTGAATAAAATTACACTCACTGTATTATAATGTGGAAAAAGTAGAAAAGCATTTGATTACAAAGCACTCTGCTTAGTGCCAAAATATTTCAAACAAGAGAGCAACTGAAAAGCTAGCTAAAGCCTCGTTCAAAACAGCCCAACTACATTTCTGAAATGACTTAGCAGTGACTGACTTTTTTTCCTAGCCCAATAAAAACTTTAGTTTTGAGTTGTAGCTTAGCATTTCTCTGCGTCTCATTCTATAAAGTTCGAATACAGGAATAACTCTCAGTAATATCACAGTAAAGAAGCCGACTGGTCGTTCAGCATTTGACTCACAAGATACACCCCACATTCGAGAGCATGTTAAACTGAGCCAGCTTCCCACTGTGCTAGCTGTACAGCTAATCATAATTGGCAGAGTCATAAGCATTAGCATTAGCGTCCCCCTAGTTCATGTTGTAAGTATTGGGTATTCAGGGTAAAAAACTACGTCAAGTCGTGGTACAAAATGAGCAACAACCACCTCATACCCAGGCGACAAACTTAAAATGTCAAATAACTTATTAATGGCTGCGTCGGAGGGACTTTGTTGGTATGCTGTCAAGCTAACGGTAGCAACATTAGCCTGCTAAAGTTAGCCCGTAATGCATTTGAGGTGTCGCGTTGTTTCGGAATTTAAGGAGGGCTGCCAATGTGCGGTAAATACGCCCCACTTTTGCCGAAATTACGCGAATATACAAACCACTCAAAACTGCATGGTCCACCGCAAACTAAAACACAAGTAATACAGCTAGCAATGTTAGTTGCGCTAGTTAGCAAATAGCCTCTCACCGTTTGTTCGGGGTCTATCTCAATCTGAATAGTCTGCTGCTGCAGTGTTTTCAGCGTGATCTGCATGGTAGCGACGGCTGACGTCCTGTCAGATTTCCTTCCGATGGAGAAACAGATGCTTCGCTAAGCAGTTAGTTTGTTTTAAAAGTTGGCGTTTCGGGTAAGATGGGAGCTAACCGACAAATGTGTGTATCCATGAGCACTCAGCAAATCGCCATCTTTGGTGACAAGTTGGTGGAGCAGTGAGAGAGGCAGAGCTGGTAGCCACGAGATCTCGTTGCAGAACGACGCGATTACGAATCGGGACTGTGAAGGCAGCGCTACAGTAATGAAACTATGGAAAGTTGGAGAAGACGCAACACGTGTAGAACAAAACTTTATTTATGTATTTATTGTCCTTTATGTCATTTTAATTTTAAGTGGTAATGTGGTTTGTCTTATCTGGCTGTTGTTTTCAAAGCTTTTGTTGATCAAATTTTTACGTATATAATATAATTTCAATGTATTAATTTTAGACAGCTTTCTGTATCTTGATAGGAACATAGTGTATGAAAGCATAAATCTGGGGAGGGATACCAAAACGATTCACCCTTTCCCTTCTGAATAGCTCTGGTCTCCATCATTTGGAAATGAAAGAAGTTGGAAACCACCGGAACCACTGATGGTGATTAAAGACGGTCTTTGGTCAGAGAGGTGACCAGGAGTCCAAATAGTCACTAAAACTGTTTCAGTCTTTCTTTGTGCACATAAAAACAAAAACATCAAAAAGGTCAGTCAATTCTAATATTTTTCTCCAATCATAGCATAGTGACCGTCCAGATGGAAGCCACTTCTTCCTAAAAGCCACCTTAGAGCATGTCAGTCCAGGAGAAACAAAATCAGCTGGCCTGATAAAACCACATTAGAAATGTGTGGCCTGAACTCCAAGCCTCAGTGCACAAACACTGATCTCAATCATGCAGTACTTATACATATACATATCAATATTCTGATTGGACAAACTTTTACTGCGAAAACTGTTTTCTTGGACGCATGTAAATACATAAGAAATAACGGCCCTTAAAGTTAATTCCTCTTCTGAGTATATCTCTTCCTGGTCCATTCAGTAGACTTTAAAGGAGGACAAACTGCTCCAGAAAGTAACATCCTCATCCAGAGAGCGATATCTACATGTTATGAAACTCTCTCTACAGATAAAAAGAAAAGCTTCTCCTAATTAGCAAAGTGCAGGCTGTATACAAAAGTGCAGAAATTGTGACTTGAAAGAAAAATGAGATGTGGAAATGTTTATGGACATATTTGCATCCCACATTCTGGACTGAAATGCATAATGAATGCACTGGGAAAAGCAGTTTCAGCTGAATATGAAAGTCTTGGTTTTCATCTCTGAGTATTATTCCTGTTCTTCCTAAGTTTCTTTTTCAGACACTTTTTATACATGGTCAAAATGAATAAAGATTTATTTTTCATGTGCCCAATATCCACCCATTCCTCTGTTTGAACCCCTCTTGTAAATTTCTCAAAGTTTTCTTAAAGAGATGACACATATTTAAAAAATTCAAAAGCTCAAGAAACCTTACTAACCTTTCAGACAGGAGCAGCTCTTGATAAAGTTGAATCTTTAATCAACTAAACATAATCTTGCTTTTCAATTTCACGCAGAATTTCCATCTGAAGGAAATGTTTCTGCTCTTTGCAGATAAATCTGCAAATAAATCTCACAATTTATTGTAATAATAGCAGATTTCCCAGTAATCAAGCTGCTTTATTGAAGAAAGCCAATGAGACAGAGCAACAGGCAATTTTTCTGTTCTAAATCTAAGGAATTTAGAAGAAAACGGCATCACTTGATGTTAGTTAATGTCAGATTAAAGCAGAAACACAAGCAGTTTGTGTTTCTTCATTCCAGGGACATCAAGTTGAGGTTGAAGGTGATTCTTACAGTAGAAAACTAGACAGAATAAACAGGACTTGAGGGCTTTCAGTTTTCTCCCAGTGCAGAAATCACAGGTCACATCTTCAGGTCCAGCATAGCAGTGGTCAGCAGCAGCAGCTTGGAGTCCAGTCTTCTTCAACTGCTCCTCTAAAGCTGCTAGCATGGTGTTCTTCTTTAGCACAGGCCTCGGTGTGAACGTCTCCCTGCACTGAGGGCAGCTGTGGATTTGTTCCTGATCACACCCTTTGAACTTTTCCATGATTTGTCAAATTACACTCACAAACATAAATATATTTGGTAACACTTTATTTGAAGGGGTGTGCATAAGACTGACATGACACAGTCAAAAACATGACATATCATGAACATAAAGAAGTCTTTATGAATGTTTATGACAGTTGTCATGAAGTGTCATTCGGTAAATAATGACACTTTTAATGCAAAGTTGCTCTAAAAGCTGCATTAAAAGTCCTTTAAAAGTGCCAACTTTGCATGATTTTGTAAATTATGATAATTTAATGCAAAGTTAGCATTTTTAATGGACTTTCAATGCAACTTTTAGAGCAACTTCGCAGTAAAAGTGTCATTATTTACCGAATTACACTTCATGACAACTGTCATGAACATTCATAAAGACTTCTTTATGTTCATGACAGGTGTTATGTCATGTTTTTGATTGTGTCATGTCAGTCTTATGCACACCCCTTCAAATAAAGTGTTACCATATAATTTCATTGGAATTTTAATGTGAAAGATCAAAAAAGTGTTATAAAATACTTTTGATTCATCTGCAACAGTATTAAACCTTCTTGTCTCTGAGAGCAACCAGTTGCCCTGAGAAGTTGCCTGATGGTTGCTATTGACTGAACAGAGTCCATTTATGTGTAATCTAAGCTCAGAACAAATCCAGCTGCTCTGCGACACCTCAGAAGTTCAGAGATTATCAAGGAGCAAACAGCATCATGAAGTCCAAGGAACACAGCAGACGGGTCAGAGCGAAAGACCTGGAGAACCTTAAAGCAGAGAAATATTAAAAATATAACATCCCACTTTTCAATCTATCATCTGGAAATGGAAAGAGTATGGAACAACATTAAGCCTACCAAGAAAAGGCCTAGTCAAACTTCAGCTAAACTTCCAGGCTGAACAAGGAGAGCTCTGATCAGAGATGCAGCCAATAGGCTCATGGTGAATCTTTAGTGAGACAAAATATGGAAAAAGTTCAAGAGGTATGAATGTTTTTTTAAGCCTCTGTAACAGGATGTCAGGGAGAGTGGAATATGACATTTAATTTTTTCTCAGTGATGAAAGCCAGCCTGTCTGCAGATGTTTGTCTGAGTCAGCAATTTATTTGTTTATTTGGAGCTTTGGAACATTGTGACCGAGCTGCCACCAGAGGGCGATAGAGGGCCTAAAAACTCTGAAAAGAAGATTAGGGGGAGAAAAAAAACAATAATACTTACAACAATAATCTAATAGAAATTCATGGTAAATTTGGAATAATAATTTTCTTAATCAAAACATCTGACCATTTTTTAAATCATTATTATAAAATATAAGTTAAAATAGCTCTTTGAAATCTTGTTTGCTGTGCTCATCTTGAATTCATCAAGCTGCTTTGCTCCTCTAGTTAGTGTAGCGATCATGAACTGGACCAGTTTTAGTCCAGATAAAGACTGAAGGAACCATCCAGCAGCTCTGACTTCTTTCTTGCTGCTCTTAAACCATTTCATTGGAGCTCTGGCTGGATGTTTGGATCTCTGTCCAAACATCCAGAGTTTCAGCTTTGATGGAGCTGAAACTCCATCAAAGCATCAAGGCTTTTCAAGACTAAAAGAGTTTTAGATGATTGTTGGTGAAAAAAGCATCCCCACAGCATGCTGCTGTCACCACCATGTTTCACAGTGGGTAATGTGTGGAGGTGAATGTGTCTGTTTTCTGCTAAACTTAATGATGTCCAGGTGTAAAAAAATGTTTTGATGTGATATAAGTCAGTGTAAAGAGTCATTTTTTCAAAATTGTTGTCCTGACAACTGATTCCGGTTCCTGGAGCAGATCCAGGACCAGAACCTGATCTTAAAGCTAAGATTTAATCCACTTTAACTCAGGTCAGATTGTTGCTCCTGTAAACATCAGGTTTAATCTGATCTTCTGCAGCATCTGAAAGAAAAGTTTCTACACTTTAGACCGTAAAACTCACAGTTTGTTGTAAAAATTAAGAGAAAGTGTTTCACGTTTTTCAGTAATTAAGTTGTTTTATTGAAGAAAGCCAAACAGAACAATAAACATTTATTTTTCTAACCTAAATCTAAAGAATAGAGAAGAAAACAGCATCAGCTTAAAGGTCAATTTAGTTTCATTTTCCCCTTTGAATTTCAATACAATGTCATAAAAGAATGAAAGAAAACATCAGCAGAAATTATTAATGGTTCCTGGAACTCAGAGGCTGAGAACTCCTTTTAACTAGAGAAATAAAGAACAAAACAGCAGAACCATGAAGCCTGATCAGCAATCAGAGAGAAAAGAGGAAATCTAGTTGGGTTTAATGAACTCTGCAGAGGATCCAGGTGCAAAAATATTCCCAATCCTAACTCCAGTCAGTAGCGGCTGAGTGAATCTGGTCTGGACTCTGTGGAGGAGAGTCATGATTTCAGAGACGCTGTAGAAGGACAGAAGACCTGCTGTGTGATCCAGGTACACTCCTAGTCTGGAGGAAACTGGACCTGAGATGGAGGTCCAGATGTTGTTGTGACCAAATCTAGAACCATTACAATTTAAAGCCCAAGATTTGTCATTACATCCAAAGAAACATTCAATCCCACTTCCTGCTCTACTGATATTCTTGTATGTGACTGATACAGAAACGAACCCGCTCCACTCCACCTCCCAGTAACAACGTCCAGTCAGACTCTCTCTACTCAAAACCTGAGACCAATTAGTGAATCTGTCTGGATGACTAGAATAAGACTGACGGTCTTTCATCCATGTCACCTTCCTGTTCTCCTCTGATAGAATCAGCCGTGTGTTTGCTGTGTTTGGATCCAGTGTTATTTCACATGAATATTTCAAGAAACCAGCTCTGCTCTTTGGTTCTGGTTGTGGTTCTGACAGTAGAACATCCACCTCAGTGACCATCAGTGAGATGTTTGTCCATGTGTCTCTCAGGACGTCCTGTAGTTTGCCTCTGAGCTCTGACACAGCTGCTGTCACGTCCTCAAAGTGT